GCGAACGGTTAAGCCCAACAACTAGCAGATAGGCTGTGGTTCAAACCCACCCAGAGGCTCCTCGGAAGATAGGCCTGGTGATCTGCTTACAAAAGGTCACAGCCTGGAAAAATCCTAGGGAGCAGTTCTACTCTGCATACATGGGGTCGCCAGGAGTCAGAACCGACTCCAACCAACTCAAGGGTACCTAACAACAACAATCCTGGGACTAGAGAGCTTGCTGTCCCGTCCCCAGTGACTTAAGGTTTTTGCTTTGTCTGAGAGAACAGTCCTCCGGGAAGTGGGTGGTATTTCCTGCCTGCAAACAGCAGCCAATCACCTCTTGCTTGTCTGTGCCACCAGGGGGCTTTCTCCAGGCTCCTGCTCTGCCTCCAGTCTTCCTCTTGCACACCCAGGGAAAAAGAGCAGAGCAGTGAGTGCCAACTCCCTCCTGCCCTCCTCGTGCTCTGTCAAAGGCAAAACAGTTTGTGTCCTGTCTCTCCTTGAAGAAGGAGCTTGTCGCTCTTTGGATTCCTTTCTCGTGGTTGCCTTATGACCTCAGCTCTCTGATGGGTTGAAGAAATTACGGTTTCGCAGATTATCTGGCTTTTTCTTGTTGTTAGAATGGAGTGAGGTTCTTCTGTGGCATTCTACATCCCAAAAAGAAGTTGAAGTCTGCTACTTCCCTTTTCTTTTTTTTAAATTGTGATCAAATACATGTAACAATAATCAAAGTTTCCTGTCAATGACTTCTACTGCCCTCTAGGACAAAGTCCATGGCTTATACATCGTCTCATGGTTTGTCTCATTTCCCTATAGTTTGGGTGGTGCTTGCTGTCACTTGTGTAGCTGACATTTACTGAGCCTTCACTATGTTCCAGGCACCGTTCTGTGGCGTTCCTGGTGACACAAACGGTTAAGCCTTCAACTACTAGCTGAAAGGTTGGCAGTTCAAATGCAGCCAGAGGCTCCTCAGAAGACAGGTCTGGAGATCTGCTTCTGAAAGGTCTCAGCCTTGAAAACCCTATGGAGCAGTTGTACTCTGCACACATGGTCGCCATGAGATGGAATCAACTTGATGGCAACTAACAAGAACAAAGAATAGGGAAAGCCTACATCTTCAAGAAATCCGTCTTGGAAGAAGTACAACCAGAATGCTCCTTAGAAGCAAGGATGGTGAGACTACGTCTCACATACTTTGGACGTGTTATCAGGAGGGATCAGTCCCTGGAGAAGGACATCATGCTTAGTAAAGTAGAGGGTCAGTGAAAAAGAGGAAGGCCGTCAACAAGATGGATTGACACAGTGTCTGCAATAATGGGCTCAAGCATAACGATTGTGAGGATGGCCCAGGGTCACTATGAGTCAGAACCGACTCAATGGCACCTAACAACAACATGTCTTCAAGATGTAGCGTTATGTGAACAAATTCACAGAACTTGCAGAACTTGGTGTTTGCTATGTTGTCATTTGTTGTGCAAAAAAGAAAAACCAGGATATATATATATTTGGATTTTCTTATATACATGTGATTGTTAGGGTTGTGTTTCAGCTTGGCTGGGCCATGATTCTCAGTGGTTTGGCAGTTATGATGTAGTTTGTCTATCATATAATAATTTGATCACTTTCAGGAAGGGATCTGCTGTGAGTAGCCAATTAGCTGAAAGGGAGTTTCCCTGGGGGTATGGCCTGCATCCAATATAGGTGGAATTTCTGGCAAGGCTTGCGGGCTTTTGCTTGCTCTGGATCCTGCAGCTGGCTCCTGTTCATGTGACCTTAGGACTTGAGCTAGCAACTGACTTGCCAATCTTGTGTTCACCAGACCCTGCAGCTACATGAGTCAGGAGAAGCCTCCAGCCTGACCCACAGATTTCGGACTTTCCAACCTCTACAACTATGTGAGCCATTTCCTTGATATAAATCTCTGTCTTGCTACATATGTATTTAGGTATACATATATACACATACACGCACCTATCTATAGACAGTGTTATGGATTGAAATGTGTCCCCCAAAACTGTGTGTCAACTTAACTAGGCCATGTTTCCCAGTATTGTGTGATTGTCCACTATTTTGTCATCTGATGTGACTTCCCTATGCGTTATAAATCATGCCTCTATGATGTTAATGAGGCAGGATTAAAGGCAGTTATGTTAATGAGGCAGGACTCAATCTACAAGATTAGGTTGTGTCTTCAATCAACCTTTTTTGAAATATAAAACAGAGGAGTGAGCAGAGACAGGGGACCTCATATCACCAAGAAACAAGAGCCAGGAGAACAGTGTGTCCTTTGGACCTGGGGTCCCTGTGCTGAGAAGCTCCTAGATCACGGTAAGATTGATGACAAGGAACTTCCCCCAGAGCTGACAGAGAGAGAAAGCCTTCCCCTGGAGCTGGCACTCTGAATTCGGACTTCTAACCTCCTAGACTGTGAGAGAACAAATTTCTCTTTGTTAAAACCACCCACTTGTGGTATTTGTGTTATAGCAGCACTAAATAACTGAGACAGAGAGCGGCGCTTCACTGGTTTTGCTTCTCTAGAGAACCCAGCCTAAGATAATGTATTAAAAAAACCCAAAAAACCAAGAAACTAATAGCAGGGGGTGCCTGTTTGGAGGAAGGTGTGGGAAGTATGTGGATGGGGTCAGGAATGTGAGGGATAATTTTCTTTGTGCCTTTTTAATCTTTTAAAATTTTTTGGGCCATGTGAATGTATTAGCTATTCAAAAGTTAAATAACTATTTTAAAATAACACCAAAATAATATTAATGTATATTAACACATCAACATAGTATAATTGTAATCATTTTTTTAAAAAATATTATTCATTAGGTTGTTTTAAGGAAAAAATCTATAGAGACAGCAACTAGTCCAATAAAGGGACATATTCAACTACAATAACAGCCACTATTTTTAACCCACCCCTAAAATCCCTGCCCACATCCTCCTCATACTTTAGGTTCCAGTTCCCCAAAATGAAGTGCCCAGGTACCTCTTCCGTCTGTACCCTTGCAGGGGCCTTCCCCTTTGGCTGACTATCTTTCCCTTTCTCTTCTCTCATGGCTCACTTAGCTGCAAGTCTCAGGCATCACCTCCTCCAGGAAGACTCCTGTGATTGACACACACCCTCATCCTCCCTCTTCATCCTCCCTCCATCCATGGCAGTCCTCACCCTTTGTGGACTGCCAGGTCTGCTTAGTCCTCCTTAGCCCAGGGCCCTTGAGCCTGTGGGCTCCCTTCCCCCGGACTGTTGCCTCAGCCAAGAAATGAACTCCCCGCTCCCACTCCCCCACCCCGTATTAACCTTGGGCAGGCAGGCCCTGTTGTCCACCCACACCAAACCAAAACTAAACCCGTTGCCTTCAGGTTGATTCCCTATAGAGCAGAGTAGATCTGCCCCACAGGGTTTCCAAGGAGCGGCTAGTGGATTCAAACTGCTGGCATTTTGGTTAGCTGCCAAACGCTTAACCACTGTACCACCACCCACACAGATGCCTAGACATGTTTCAGTTTCCCCTAAATGTTCTGTTGCTCTTCCCAGGCCCACAGAGGAAATCAGAAGGAGTTTCAGTTTCCCTTAAATTGTGATCTCACCATTCCCGTCTCCCCCAGCCCGGCCGGAGCGGCAAGTGCTACCTTCAGACCAAGGTGCAGCTTTCATGGTGAGGATCCGTGGGCCTTCCCCGTTAATGCTGCATGCACTGTGTGCAGAGCGATGGAGGGGATACATGACTCGCTCACTCGCGCAGCACATGGTCCCTCAGGGAAGGCAGGCACAAACACTAGGGACAGTAACGCATAGGGACCAAGCATTGCCATCCCCACTGGGCCTCAAGGGGCGTGGGAGTGTGGCTGCTGGGGATTGGAGGGAAGGCTTAGTCCCAGCTGAAAGGGGCTGGTAAGGGTTGGAGGGCAGGATAGCCCCAGCTGGAAAGCCTCAGGGCCAGGAGAGGAGGCCTGTAGATGCTCCAGGTTTGGGGGGAGGGCGCCCTAGAGCTGAAACCTGAATCCCCATGGCTGTGAGGTCTGTGCTGGGCTTTAGGGAAGTGCCTCAGGCACTGTGGAGGATGCGCAGGAGGCGGGAAGAGACAACGCTGGGCGCTGGCTGGAACAGAAGGGAAAGCTGGACCAGCCTGACCCAGAAGAAGGGGGAGCATGCCCCAGGAGGGCCAGGCCTGATGCCAGAGGACAAGCTGTGCTTGTTCCTCAAAGGGGACGCTCATTTAGCTCTGATTTTTGTCTGTTTTTTCCACGATACTCTCCAGGAAGTAAGCTTCATTAAGACTAGAGAAGTCGGAGGCCCATTTCTGGGGCCCCTGGGGTTGGGGCTGGAGCACCAGCGCAGAAAACCACTGGGTTCCTGGGGCCAGGCCTCACTGCCAGTTTGCGTGCACCCCTTCAGCCCGTGGAGAAACAGGCAGTGACTCTGGGTAGGACAGGAGGAGAGGATGGTCACAGTCCAACCCCTCTCCTTAAGGTGATGGGCCCCCCACCCTGCCCCTCATTAGGTCCATGTGTTTGGGGGCCCAGTTCTGACCCACTCACGCCCCTTTCCTCTGGTAAACGTGTACCTCCACCATAAAGAGGGACAACAAAGTGACCCTTGTCTCGCCCTTCTGCCTGCGGGAGGGGTCAACACTTGGAGACACTCAGCAGGGAAGGGCACAGCAGGGGTGATCTGGAGCCCCCTGGCCCTGTAGTAGGGGCATTGCCCACTCCCATCACACCCAGTCCCCGCTCCTTCTCTCTTCTGATTGTGAACACATTTATTTGTTTTGTAGGTTTTCAGACCTCTGGCAAGAAGCACAGGACAGCAGGGCTCCCCTTCATGCTGCCCTGGGTCCCAGCCCATCACGCATGCAAGACGGCCAGTCCATGAGTCACATCATCTTCAGGAGCAGGGCAGGGGCCGGGAGGCAGGCCCTGCTCTCTCCCATCTCCACCCCCCAAACTAGCCTGGGCCTGGACTGTACCCAGGAAGGCAGGCCCAGCCCAGATCCCGAGGTGCCACCCACTGCAGTGAGCTCTTCTTGGTGGCTGCCTGCCTTCTCCCCTCCCATCCCCCCCCCGCCTCTCCTTCCAAGCTCCCCCAGGATTCAGAGCCAGGGCCACACACTCTGGCCCCTCATACAAGGGTGAAGCAGCTGCTGCCAGGCCGTTTCGGTGGTCCTGCCTTCCCAGCCAGGTGGAGAGCAGAGCAGGGCAGGCACATCCACATGGTGCACCCAGCTCAGGCGATGGGCAAAGGCTTGTCCAGAGAAGCAGTGCTGCAGGTGAGAGGGGCAGGACAGCCTGGCTTGGCCTCTCCCAGCCTCCGTCCATTGGCTCCAGGCTGGGCCTGAAATGCTGGAGAGCCTCGACTCCCCAAGGTGCATCAACAGTGCCGCCTCCTCCTCCAAGAGGCCGTCCTGGCTTGGTGCCAAGCTCGGGGCTGGGCTATGGGCGGCCAGCCAAGGCTGCTGCTACTTCAGGGCCCTGAGGACAGCCTCCAGCTTCATGGCTACAGCCAGGTCACCCTTCACCTTCAGCCGCCCGCTCATGTAGGCCCCCAGGGGCCGCAGCTCCCTGCACAGCAGGGCCCGCAGGTCCTCCTCGGCCATCTCCACCACCACATCGGGGATGCTCTCAGGCACCCCACGTCCCACTCTCCCTCGTCCTGCGAGGGAAAGAAAATGGAGCATTACGGGGTGATTACAGGGATGGGGGAAGGGTGTTGCTGAATTCCCCTGCTGATCTACTCTGTAAAATGAAACTTATCCCCATTACAAAAAGCCTTCCCTCCATCAGTCTCAGAACTGCTGAACCACAGAGTTATCATGTTCCACTGGGAGAAGTGGAGAGCAGTGGTTAAGAGTTCAAGTTCTAACACCCTGGGTTCGAGTCCTGTTGGCTAAGTGGCTGCTCAGAGCCTCAGTTTCCTGATCTGTGAAATGGGGATGATGGCAATCCCTAAATCACAGGATCACGATAAGAAGCAGATGAGATAAGGCACAAAAAGTGCTCCACACAGTGCCTGGCACACAGGAGGCCACAGCATGTACAGCCTCTTGGTGTGAGAAGCCCGGCCATCTGAACTGTCAGCTGACGGTGGGGGTCTGCCTGGATAATCATTGTCTGAAAATGGCGTCTGAGCCCCAGACCGCCGTGAGTTCACCCTAAACTGCTGGCAGGAGTAGGAGACGGCCTAAAAGAGGGCCACTAGGGGTGGGGGCCTACGAGCAACCTGGGTGGGAAGGAAGGGCAGGCAGGCCACGGCACCTGTGGTGAGGTCCAGGAAGTAAATGCTCTGGGTGCCAGCGGGCACGACAACGTTGAACTGGTAGCAGGCTCCGACCTGGCTGACCAAGGCCTCCGACAGGAAGGGCTGCAGAGCAGTCAGCAGCCCCTCGGCCACAGGCTGCTTCGGGCTGGGCCCAGCACTGACGTGTGGGGCAGGCGGCTCAACTTCACTCACCATCTCCAAGGTGTCTGCCGGGGAGGTAGACAGAGAGGAGGGGGCAAAAGTCAGTGTGCTGCCAAGGCCAGGGCAGCATGGCCTCAGCACCTCGGTGCACAGTTCCCCTCCTATCCCCTTCAGGCCTCTGTCAACTTCCTCCCCCCTGCTAAGAAACCTCCCCTGAGGCTGTAGCCCTAATGCCCCACCCAGTTCAAGCTACTCCAGCTTTGGGTGTAAAACTCACTTTCCAGCTTCCCTCTGGGGCCTATCACCTCCTCCCATGGGGGCTCCCAAAGGCGTTCATACACTCCCAGACACCTGGACTCTACTCACTGCCTTAGCTCTGGTCCCCTCTAGCATCAGGGCTGCCTGAACAGCTGTGCAGGGTGTGCACTGCACAAGGGTGCCTGGTTACGGGAGCAAGCGGCCAAGTGCAGCCTGTGCTGTGCTCTGCTCGCCAAGCTGAGTGCTCTGGGGCAAGGCCCCATATGCCCAGACTAGATGCCTTTTTCTGTCTCCATCAAAGGTGCTGTTTGGGCTAGAGAAGCCCTGGCTGGCACCAACCTCCCACAAAACACCCCTCTCCCCACAAAAGTCTCCATTTCTCCTCTCAGCCCAGATACGTGGACAGCAGCCTCCTCTCCCCTACCCGCCTCCCAGGGCTTCTCACCTGGCCCTGGGGGAACGGCACCTCCTGCCACTGAGGACACGCCTCCTCCCAGGAAGTGGAGGGCCAGCTGCTGGAGGGTGCTGTCCAGGCTGGACCTGGCCGGGCTGTCCTGGGGCGGCTGGAGCACGGCCTCTACTGCCAGCTCCACGCGGTCTACCTCCAGCCCCCAGGCCCTGGTCACGTCGTTGATCTCCAGCTGGAGGGAAGTGTGGGGAGAAACAGGGTGCCTTCATTACACCTTCCCCGAGCACCTCCTTTAGGCAGGCCGGTATGGCCAGGTGGGGGCACGGAAGCGGGTGAGGCCCACGCCTGCCTTTGGAGAGCTCTCAGCCTGGGAACGCAGGCAGAGGGCAACTACAACCCAGCTGCAGTGAGTGCCTAGACAGGAGGGAGGGGTGGGTACCCGGGAGGGGGCCTGGCCATGCTGGAGGGCCAGGGAGCCTGGGACAGGGATGGGGAGTGACGCCAAGAAGAGAAAGAATTATTCAGTGAAAGGGCATAAGGAGAAGGAGGACCCTTCCAGGCAGTGGGAACGGCATGTGCAAAGCCAAGACAGGAGAACCTGACATGTTCCAGGAACTGCGAGTAACCATAGTTTCACTGAGCTGGGCCCTCAAGTGCAGGCTGGGTGGCTAGAGAGAGCTGAGGGTGAGAGGCAGGGCTGTGCCCGCTAACTTGGACTTATTCTCAGGCAACAAGGAGTCTCAGAGTTTAAGCAGGGAGGCGACAAGGCAGACCCACTTTTTGGAAAGATCCTCCTGGCTACCGGTGGACACTGGACTGGAGGGGCTGCAGGGGGAGACAGGGAGACCAGGTGAGATATTATTTCAAATGGCAGGTGAGGAATAATGCAGATCTGTATCCGGCAGAGTGGTGGCTGTGAAACCAAGATACACCAGGGGAGGCACAAAATTCTGTTCAACTTTAAGCCACAGCAAGATACGAGAGAAATGGAACCACTAGGCTCATCAGCTGCCTGGATGTGGGATGGGGGCGAGCAGGGGGAGTTAGGGACATCCAGTTTCTGATCTGCTTCCTGGGCATTCCCCTAGAGAGGACTGAGAGGTACCCACTGGGCTGGCAAGAGAGAGGCTGCCACGATGTCGGCCAGAGGTTTCTCAAGATGCGGGGTGGGTAGATGGGAGGGGAGAGATGGAGGCCTTCCAAGGGAAAGGGGAGAGAGGCAGTGAGAGCTGCAGGGGACCGGGCAAAGGGAGCAGAAAGGAGAGGGAAAGGGAGAGAGAAGACAAGCATGGGAGGGAACTGAGCCCTGGCCAGAGAAGCTGGGACCAGAGCACTGCCTGGTGCAGGGATGAGCCTCACACTGAGGAACTGGGGTGCCTCTAATGAGGCAGGAGAAATGGCACAGATGTAGATGCATTTGAAGGGCTTTTAGAGGCAAGTCAAGACATTTCTGTTTCCTCCCTCCAAAATAAAGCAGTAATACCTGCCCTCCTGCAGCGAAGATGTGAAGCTGAGATACACTGGGGCAGGCAAGAAGACTTTTTAAACTACGAAATGTACCGGGGAGCTATTGTTGCTATCATGGATATTATTTTCTGGGGAATTTTACCTGGCTGGTTGTTTGCCAATTTACTTCCTGAAGGCATGGGGACCTCCACTCCCCATCCCGTCCTCTAACCCTAAGTCCCGTGGGGGAAAGCAGAGCCGAAGGGAACGAGGGAAAACTTCACATTACCCAGTCAGACCTGGCAGGAGGCGCAAGGGGCCACGCCACCGTGTGTGCAGTTACTTCTACCCCATCTTCTTGCAGAAATGATTTAAAGTGGCTTATTTCAGTGTAGATAAACTCTCTCACACATGGAGAAGTGCAGGAAGTGTTCAAATATACCCAGGCCCCTTTGTTCTGTTCAGAACAAGGGAAACAACACACAAAAAAAGTACACGCCCAGGAGGCTGCGTTGTGGAGCGAGGAATTTCCTACCTGCTCTTTTACCCACCTGCCTGCTGTGAGTCAGTCCTGGGCAATGGGGACTTCATGGGGCCCCTGAGGCCCAGTGTTGTCAGGCAACCACTGGGCCCAGGAGACCAGTGATGGGTAAAGCCTCAGCAGTCAGAGGCAGGACCTCGAAATTTCTATCCAGGCCACTTCCCCCCTCAGGGTGCCTTCACTTCTCAGGAGTGCTTGCCAAGATCGCTGTGCCCTATGCCCACCTGCCATTCCTCAACATATAGTCCCACTGGCTCTTCAAAGGATATTACACTCACTGGACGTGTGGTAAACTGAGGCCCAGAGCCATCTGGTAATTTGTGCAAAGTGACCTGGGGAAGAGGAGGCGCTGGGTTGCCTACCAGGAGCTGGTCACTGATCTTGAGCTTCTCCAGCTGGATCTCCCACAGCGGCCTCTTCAGCAGGGCCTTGGTCATCGCGTTCTGGGCCATCATGCGCGTGGCCGTGTTCAGGTCCTTCACGGTCATCACCGAGAGCACCGGGTCCCAGATGCGGAACTGGATGTCAGCCCCCACGGACAGCATAGCCCCGTCCTTAGAGGCCAGCTGTTGGAGGAGGCCGTGAAACAGGAGAGACAATCAAGGGCTGGGCCAAAGGGCTGGGGCTGCAGGGACGGCAGGCCCCTGGGGCCACCCTGCCTGACCCACCCGCCTGGCAGCTAGCTCCTCAAAGGCAAAATGGTGTTCCCAATTGCCTGGGGTTAGGTGTGTGCAGCAAGGATGCCCTCTCAAGCTCCATCCTCATTTCTCTGGTCTCTTCCTCCCCGTCCCGGATGGTTACTCGTAAGCCCAGGGCCTGGTGCTCATGGTCCACTGTGCAGGCCCCCACGCCCTCTGTCCAGGGCAGCTGAGAAGGCCCTCACCTTGCAGGGAGGGACATTGAAGGCTCGTGTCCTCAGATCCACCCTCTGAAAGGAGTCAATGAAGGGCAGGAGCAGGACCATGCCAGGCCCCTGGGGGGTACGGATCCGGCCCAGCCGGAACACGATCATCCGCTCGTAGGTGGGCACGATCTGTCCACAATGGCAAGGGAAAGGATTGAAAATGGTGAGCCTAGGCCGGCCAAGGACTTCTGCCCAGGTTCCTCCCTCACCCTCTCTTCCTCGCCTTGGTCAGAGTTAAACATCCTTACCTGTTTTGTAGATGAGAAAACCAAAAGCTCAGAGAGGTTAAGTGACGTGCTCAAAAATCACACAGCCACTAAGTAAAATAGGCAAGATCTGAATTCAGTCTTGAATGACTCCAAAGGCCATGCTCTCAACCACCACACTGTATTGACTTGATCCTCAGAGAAACGTTTCACCACTGTGGTCTGAAACTAGACATGACTCATATCAGGAAACTGTCTGCCCTTGGATTAGTTAGGGGGAAGGCTGGAATGCTCTATGAGCACCCTCGAGCAAAGGCCTTTGCCAGCTTCTCGTCCCTGGAGCCTTCAAAAAGCAGATATGTCCACACTGAGAAATGGAGGTCTAGAGATGCAAAGTGACTTTCCCAAGGGCACACAGCATTTGTTTCAGTGGCAGTTTTAGAACTAGGATCTAGAGCTTTCTAAGGACTCCCTTCCAGACCACACCAAGCCCAGAAGCTTTCTCACAAAGCTGACTGTTGCCTAGGGCCACACAAAGGACAAGGCCGGCCCCAGCTCCCAGCTTCACTGCAGCTTTCGGTTGATCTTCAACTTGTTAGTTGCCGTTAAGTCAGTTCTGACTCATGGTGCCTTATGTACAACAGAACAAAACATAACCCAGTCCTGTGTCATCTTCATGATCATTGGTATGTTGAGTCCATCGTTACACCTGAATTGTTCATCCTTTTCCTGTCTATACTGCCCCTTATTGAAAACGAGGCCTGTTACTCATTACTTCCTGGGCCAAGTTAGTCTCATTTCTAATTTAGCCTGACCCAAAGGGTAGAACATTTAGCAAAGATATCTGTGTGTACCTTCAAGCCAGTGTCTAGGTTCCAAGACTTGGCAGTTTGAGAAGACTTATTCTACCACTTACTGGATGACTTTGGACAGGTCTGAGCCTCTGCTTTCTCATCTGGCAGATGGGCATGAACAATCCTTGCCCAGCTCGTTTCACAGAGGTGGGGTAATACATTATTTAGGGAAGGGGGCAGAAGATAGGGGATGCACTCATCAGTGGCAAAGCTCTCAGTGCGGCCCAACCACTCTGACCCAGGCAGTCTTACCTTCAGGGCAAACCATCCAGAAACAGGGAAGGTGAGCAACAGGAGCAAGAACCCCAGGAAACTGATGAGACCGTGGCAGAGGCAGGAGGGCCAGCTTTGGGGCACATCTGGAGGGAGAGCAGAGGCAGTCAAGGAATAGCAGCTGGGTCTGGCAGGACAGCAGAAACCTGGTCAAGTGTATCTTTCGCCCACCTCCCCTTTCAAAGGCTCCTTCATTCTCAGTGCCCGTCCCTTTGGGCAGGTACTAGTTAAGGACTGTTCACCTCCCACAGTTCAAAACTAGCCTGTTCTGAGTCCTGCTCCCACAAGGCCCTATGCTCTGCTAGGCATCAGCCACTGAATCTGAATATCCAATCTACATGATGCTCCCCTTGTTGGACCGAGCAGGGGTCAGCCTCCTCGTCAGATTTATGTTGCCTACTCATACCTGGAACAGAGCTGGGTTGAAATGAACGTAGCTGGCTTAACAGACTCCTCCTCTCCTACCAGGAGTCCTTCTGAAAATAATGTCTTAGCTTAAAGGGATAAAGCATTAATGGAGCATTGAATAGGGGCTGAGGTGTTCTTTTCCAGCTCACTATTCCTCACCCTATTTAATGCCCTTGTTGTTAGCTGCTAGGCAACCCCACGCACAATAGAACTAAATGCTGCCCAGTCCCGAAGCTCTGCTGAAACCTGTTCAGCATCACAGCGACACACAAGTCTCCACTGACAGATGAGTCATGGCTGCACATGAGGTGCACTGGGCAGGCATCGATCCCAGGTCTTTGGCACGGAAGGCAAGCATTCTACCACCAATGCCCTAAGGACTATCAAATGTATGCTTCACTTCAAGCAGCTCAAGTGGGAGATGGGGAACCAGGAAGATGAGGCTCGTTTGAGCCAGAGGTCCTGGCCCCTGGAGGAGAACCAGGAGCCCAGGATGAAGTGGCGTTGAGACAGGCCCACATTCTGGGAAGAGATTACTCTCTGCTCTTCCCTCCTTCCAATCCTGCACAGGAAACAGAACGGTACTTCTGCTTCATCTTTCTAAGAACCCCACGTTCTCTCGGCTCTCCAAGTCCCAGGACACTAAGTCTCCATTTCCTGCCTGGCTCTGACCCTGGAAGCCTCTGCAGAAAAGGAACCCTTGGATAAGGGCACCTGTCAGTACAGGAGGGCCAGGCTTTTGTTGTCATGCTGAGGAGTGTGGGATCTGGCCTTCGGGCAAAGAGAACCATGGAAGGCTTTGGAGCAAGAGAGGCTCAGAACAGACACAACAGACTGCTGAGGGTCTGCCTTTTTCCGTCTGTGCATCTTCACCGGGAAATAAGAAAGTGCCCTCTGGGGTGAAGATTTTTGCTATTTCTCTGCAGCCAAGTGCTCTTTGGGTGCTGGTAAACTTCTCTGCCTAGACCTCGATTTTTTGTTTTTTTTTTTTCTGTGCAAACTGGCGTCTTGAAACCTCTGCTCAGGCCTAGAGGGCTGATAAGGGCCGGGATGGTGGGCGATGGCTTTCGAAGATAAGAGAGTTGCGCTGGCTCCAGGGCTGCAGCCCCACAGTCCCAGAGGGGGCGGATCAGCGCCAGCACCCCAGCTAACGGCGCAATCTCCTCTCGGTCCCTCCTCTTAGGGTGCGAGAGGGCCTGGCCAGCTGGTTTCTGAGAGGGGATGGAGTCTGGGAGTAGGGGCGCCGGCAGGCTCCCCCCGGATCCGCAGTGCGGGGCGGCCACTCACCGGCCCCCGTCCCCACGCCGCCCCGTTCCGGGGACAAGCAGCCCTTCTGCGAGCTCAGGAAGCCGAAGCTCGACTGCTGGAAGCGGTCAAAGTCCCCCAAGGGCAGCGCCCGGTACCCGGACCTGCCCAGCATGGCGCTTGACAGGCAGCAGTGGCCACGACCCGCGCGGTGCGGGACCAGAGCAGCCGGACCTGCAATGCCCCGCCCCTGCCGCGGGCCTGGGCTCTGGCCGCCGCTTCCGGCTTCACTTGCGCGGCCACCAGCGGCGGCCAGGGCGCAGGAGGAGGAGGCAGGCCGGGCCCAGCTCCCGCCGTCGCACAGCGCCCCCTGCCCTCGGAGGACCGAACTACGACCATGGGGCGGGAGGTTCTGTGCTCCTGGAAGTTGGACGGGGTTCTCTCTTCCTCCCTGCTCCTACCTGGCCTTAGAAAAGGAGCGGGAGAGGAAGCGGGGCTTTGCAAGTGGTTTTCAAGATTCCAGTTGCCTCAGAATCAAGAAAATGCTGTTATCAGCTTCCTCCCTCTCCAAACTCGCACACTGGGGTCGCGACAAGGGGGGAAACAAAACCAAACCCATTGTTGTGAGCCCACGTGTTACAAAGAATTGCTCCACGGGGCTTTCCTGGCTCTAGTCTTTAGGGAAGCAGATCACCAGTCTTTTCTTCTGAGGCATCGTTGGGTGGATTCAAACTGCCAAGCTTTAGGTCAGTAGTCAATACTAACCGTTTTGCACCACTAAGGGACCTCAGGCATGTTGGAGTGGTGCCCTTATCTAGACTTAGGGTTTCTGCAGGCATGGCCAGCAAAAGATTCCTCTTTGCCTCCCCACAGCCCAGGAAGCTGGGCTTGGCACAGAGCAGATGCCCAGTACTTATTTGTTGAATGAAGGTATAGGTTACTGCGGTCCAAGCTGGGGCGGGAGGGCCTGAACTTTGGCAAAAAAGAGAGAAATTTCCTGTGCAGACTCAGGGAGCACAGCAGAGCTATGAAGGAGGGGATAGCAAAGAGCTATGCAGAGGGCAGGCCATCCAGGTATCACAGAAGTGAGACCCTCCGTCCTGCAGATCCTCGAACACCATGCCCTTGATCCAGGTACCCAGAGGTAACTTGCCTCTCCACAGCTTGAGAAAACCCAAATGTAAATGGTGAGTTTACTGTGAGAAGCCTTTACTCCCGCCAGGGTGTTGGGGCTGGCTGGGAGCAGGCTGTCCTCTAAAGGGAGCAAAGAAATGAATAAAGTTTTTCTTGTCTTGGCCACATGCCTATCTTCCCTCCCCAGGCACCTCAGCCCCTCAGCCCACTTCTAGAACTATTCTGCAGATGGCTGCCCACCATCATTAGCTTTTCCTAGTTTGGTGTTCAGAGGGTGACCTGATTGTAGGTACCCTGGGGGTACTGACCAGGCTGGAAGGTAGGGAAGGTTCCTGAGGGTTCTCACAGTTTCTGGGCAAGTTGGGTCTCTTTCCACCATCTCCCTTCTATCCCCGCACGCACCCCAGATTATAAGCTTTACAAGAGCAAGACCCTGTCACCATCCTTTCTAATCTGTTCTGTGTTGGAACTGAGAACAGAAATGGGTACACAGGGCTCAGCACAGTGGTTGGGATGGTTTGAAGTTTCAAGCCAGGGGCACTGGCCCAGCGAGGCCCCCTGAAATTGTGTTCCTCCTCCCCTCACCAGCTGAGGGTCTGGCATGATTCTCAGCTGGCCAAGACCTATCCTGCTCTCTCTTCACCCTCTTCATGCCTGCTGACTGGCTCCCACCACCACCACCACCTTCCTCAGACTCACTAGCCTTTCCAACTGTCATCCACAGCATCATCCTGTCCCACTCATCTCAGTCAGCGCCCTCCCTCCCAGTGCCTCTGACTCAGACCCCTCTTTGGCATTCCACAACCACTGTCCTAGACCAGACTTCCTGCCCCTAGGTTGTCAGAGTGACTATCCCAACAAGCAACAGCTGATTGCTCTGTTCCCAGTTCCAAACCCTTCACTGATTCTCTATCACCCACTGAAATGGTTCAATCTCCTTAGCTATGATCTCGCCCCAGCCCACTCCTCTGGCCTCATTATTCCTAAGTCCCCTATTAAATTTGAAAATACCCAAAATTAGTTTCCAAACAGGCTCTTCTGTTTCACAACTCCATGCCTTGCACATACTGTTCTCTCTGCTTAAAGTGCCCTCCCAATCCCTAAATCCCTGGCAAATTCTCTCTGTTCTTTCAAGACCCAGCTGAGGGATCTGCTTTCCAGTCAGTCCCAACACTATGCAAGACTGTTCCCCAGCCTGCTTTTGGCTAGATCTGGGGTTCTTCAAAAGCAGGAGTCATGTGTGGATCTTTTCTGTGCCCTGTCAAAATACAAATCTGATCAATAAGTCAGTTAGAGTTCAAAGGTTTCATCAGGCAGAAAACACTGTTTTCGAAGACTGAGCACCCCTCCAAAGAGGTGAGTTTGGGACATCACAGTTTTGAGCAGCTTCTAGGCAATACAGATTGTTAGGGGAGTTCCCAGAGGAGAAATTTAAAATGACTGATTGTCCTTCACTTACTTGGCAGGAGGTGGGCTATCTAAAAGTGAGCAGATGCCCAGTACTTATTTGTTGAATGAAGGTATAGGTTACGTTTTCGTGTCTGCGTTCTGGAGGCTAGTTATGGCTTATCTAACTATCTAAGCTTTTCCCAGAGCTGTCTTTATCATGAGTTTTTAGTTTCTGGGAAAGGTTTAAAAGTTAAGTCCATTAGGTACAACCAAACGCCTCATGGGATTAGTTTTCTTGGTTCAAAGGTTTAGGGTCATGGTTTCGTGCGACAGTCCAGTCAACTGGCCTAATATTGTTTTTAGAGTTTCTATTCTACCTCTTGGAGCCCTGGTGTGCAGTGGTTAAGAGCTGGGCTGCTAACCAAAAGGTGGCAGTTCGAATCCACCACCTGCTCCTTGGAAACCCTATGGGGCAGTTAGTTCTACTCTGTCCTATGCGGTCGCTATAAGTCGTCAAGATGGCAACAGGTTTGGTTTTCTGTTTTGGGTTCTACCTGTTAGTGTTTCCAGTAGTGCCTGGGGCCATCAAAGCTTGTTAGTGGCCGTCCAGACTATGACAATTGGCCTCTATTCACCTTGAGCAGCAGAGGAAGAAAGAGACCCAGGTATCAGAGAAGAAACTGAACTGCAGGTCTAATTGCCTCTAATTGCCTACTACCTCCTTTGCCATGAGACCAGAAGAACTGCATGGTGCCTGGCTACCATTACTGAATGTTTTGGCCAAAGACTCAATAGATGGATCTGGATCAGAAAAGGAAAATACGTAAAACAGAATTCCAAATTATTATGAAATCCAGATTTACTGCACCTATTGAGAATGGAGGAACCCCCAACTCTACTGCCCTGAGAAAATCTTTAAACCTTGCACCGAAACTATCCCCTGAACTCATCTTTACATCAAACAGTTTAGCTCGATTAGTAAAGAATGTTTGCCTTGAGCATTGTGCTCTTTTAAAGAATTATCTGTAGGAGAGCAAATTGACAACAGTAGCTAAAGCATAGATGAGAAGTGTAAGGGGCAGTGAGTCTAAGTTAATGGTCGTGAAATAATTTGGGTAGAGATATGGAGAATGGCGACACACGTGAAGAATGTCACCAGTGTCACTGAATTGTACATGTAGAAATTGTTGAATGGGTGTATGTTTTCCTGTGTATATTTTCACCAAAAATAAAATTAAATATATATTTTTAAAAAGTTAAGTTTAAACCGGGGAGGGAGGAGAGGGGGGCGGCAGCATTTTCTTTAACAGTCCCCAGCTCCCAGCTGGAGGCTGGCACAAAGTTGTGCCGGCGTGAGCAGAATGAAAGGATCAAAGGCAGGGGTGGAGGCTGTTTCTCTCCCTGTCAGCTCTGTCTCCATCCCTTTCCGCAAGGCAGTGGCGCAACTGCTCCTCTCCTTCTCCCTCCCCCGGGCTCTAGGCGCCACTTCAAAACCCACAGTCTACCTCTCCGCCCCTAGAACCGCCCCCAGGCTCTGTCTCACTTCCTTTCGGGAGGCGGGCCTGAGCGAGCGCCTCCCTTTGGACAGCTCAGAGGTCTCTGGCGCACGCCTTCCGTTCAGTTTCTCTTCCCGCCCTCCTAGACCAAACGGAGAATCGAAACTGCGCTGGGGACCATGCAGCAAGAGCCTGCACCCGCCCGGTCTTCGGGGCCTCAGAAGGACCCCGCACTGCCCGACTTGCCCACCATGCCGCCGCCGGAGTCCCCCTTCGAGGACCACCAGCCCAGCCCCAGCCCCAGCCCCAGCCCCAGCCCCAGCCCCACGGAGGTACTGTTGGGTTTGGGGATTATGGAGTTTGGGCTTTGTTGGTTTGCTCTGGTGGGGGATAGGGGCGGGGAGGAGGAGGGTGTAATGGGGATCCTGGCCAAGCACTTTGAAGAGTGGCACAAAGAGGAAAGATCAGACTCCAGGGTCCTGACCCTCCTGACTGGGGTAGGGGGTAGAGCAGTGGGGGAGAGTAGAAAGGGGACCGAGACGAGTTGGGGCAGCCTCTCTGAGCTGCGGTTTCTCCATTGAGCAGGGACAAGTGCTGAGGGTCACAGGGCTCTCCCGCCCACAGGGACAAGAGCTGAGGGTCATAGGGCTCTCCCGCCCACCCCTGTGGACTTGCCCCTCACTCCTACCTCAGCTGAAGGACCACAGATTAGCGGGGGACAGAGAGTAGCCCTTTGGCACTGGCCCGGAGCCAGGGGTAATGTCCCAGTTGTGGGATAACGAAAATCTAAAGTTTCCAAATCTGAGGAAGGAAACTGTGGCCCAGACGGAAGTCTCTTGGCCAAGGCCTCACAGCTCAAGTTGTCTGTCCTCCAGGAAGCATTCCAGATCCTTGTCTTGGGATATCCTCCCTGCCCCACCAAGAGAAGGGGTATGTTAGGTCTTCCTCCAGGAAGCTTTGCCTTAGCCTGTTCTGGACAACTCCCCCACCCCCATCCCAACAAGGAACTATGTGAGGTCACTTGCTCTGTGTTCTCCCAGGCCCTTTGCTCCTCTTCAGGAAAGCACAAATGACACCGTATTGCAGTAACTTTTATTATTATAACTAAGACTAGTATTCTGAACAATACTAGTTAACATCTATGAAGAGCTTCTCACGTGCTAGGTACTGTTAAGCATTTTATATGAGGTTTACACTTCGGTCCTTAAGTGTGACTGCCTTCTAAACTGAGTTTTTTGAAGGCAGGAATATGTCCTGTTCATCCTTGTATCTTAGTGTGTGTCTGATTGAAAGTAGGTAGTCATTGAATTGTGGCAGAGATCAGGAAGGCCTGAGTAAATGGGGACTGGGGTGCCAATAAGCCAGGGTTTGGCATCATTCAGTGACTGACCAGGTGGAATGAAATATGAGGTCCCAGGAGCCCTGGATGGAGGGAGCCTCCAGCCCACAGGGGTAGGTGGCCAGGTAGGCACGGACTCCCGGGTCTTCTCCAGACTTCATGCCTCTCTCTGGTCCCCCAGCAAACCGTGGAGGAGGAATTCCAGTTCCTGTGCTGCCAGTGCTGCAAGGCCGAAGCCAAGTGCCCCAAGTTGCTGCCTTGTCTGCACACACTGTGCTCAGGATGCCTGGAGGCAGCGGGCGTGCACTGCCCCATCTGCCAGGCACCCAGGTCCCCGGGTGCTGATGCGCAGGCCCTGGATAACGTTTTCTTCGAGAGTCTGCAGCGGCGCCTGTCGATGTACCGGGAGATTGTGAGCCTCCATGCGGCCTGCACCCGCTGCAAAGAGCCTGCGGACTTCTGGTGCTTCGAGTGTGAGCAGCTCATCTGCACCAAGTGCTTTGAGGCGCACCAGTGGTTTGTTAAGCACGAGGCCCGACCCCTGGCCAGTCTCCGAAGCCAGTCGGTGCACGAGTTCCTGGACGGCTCACGCAAGTCCAACAACATCTTCTGCTCCAACTCCAAGCACCACACCCCTGAGCTGACAAGGTGAGCCAGCCCCCCAGGGGAGTGAGGGGAGCAGAGACCCAAAGACAGCTGTGGATAAGGAGTTTCTGGGGCCTTAGCAGATCCCCTGGTGGCGCAGTGGTTGAGTGCTTGGCTGATAGAGGTCAGTGGCTTGAACTGCTAGCGGCTCCTCAGGAGAAAAGACCTGGTGATCTGCTCCTGTAAAGATCCCCCCGCCAAAAGAAAAAACAAAAAAACTAAACCCACTGCTGTTGAGTTGATTCCAACTCATAACGGCTCTGCGAAACCCTGTGGGTCAGTTCTACTCTGTCCTATAGGGTCGTTATGAATCAGAATCGACTCCATGGCCTTAACTCCAAGTGTGATCTGTGACCAGCAGCATCTGTGGCAGTGACCATAATTTACTGTACCAGTCCCCACCTTGGTAAATACTATTAGTTTCAGTTTCTCCCTTTTTGTAAATAATCCTGCCGCAATCATCTGTGCACTCCTATCCAGTAATTTGTCTAGGATAAAGTTTTAGAAGTGCCATTGCTGTAAAATGAAAAATTTCCATTTCGATACATGTTACCAAACTGCCCTTTGGAAAGTCTTACAGCAGAATTTTCCAACTGCCTTGTAGTCAGCTCAGTATAGCTGAATTCTAGGATGAGATGCAGGTAGTTCCTGTCTGAAAAGTCAAAACTGTGACACCTGGCGGTGCTATATGGGAATGTTGGTATCAAAAAAAAAAATCAAACCCAATTATTATTTTTTTTAAGCAGCAGAAATTTTTAATTCAGTCTTTTAATAGATAATACATTTTATGGTTCAAAAAATTACAAATTTTAGAAAAATATGGACGGAGCAAAATCTCCATTCCACCCCTGCCTTCATCTGTCTAATTCCCACCACTCTCTCCCCACCCTACATCCACTGGTAACCACTGATTTTAGTTTTGAATGTTGAATGTATCTTTCCAGAGTTTCTTTGTGAGTGTATAAACAGAGAGGACTATATAGTCTTATAAGGTCTGATTCCCCTCCTCCTCTTTTAACCAAAAAGGTAGCATTGTAGTTAAGTGCCGGCAAGTCATTTCTGACTCAGGTCAACTTTTGTCTCCCAGGAATACATTGTTTGTATAAGATTCCTATGGGTACTTGTTCTTTGGGATCCTCTTGCAAAGAGATCGTATTCTCCGGCCATCCCGGACATACTCTGAACAACATACCTGCTAAAATGAGTGTGGTTTGCTTCCACGCCGCCTGCACTACCTCCCTGAGGGTCTGAGGGGATCTGGTTTCCTCCCAGGAAAACATGGGAGATTATTGTTTTAATTTGCATTTCTTTGCTTGTTGACAAGGTTGAGTAGCTTTTCGTATGCTTATTGGCCGTTTGTGTTTCTTCGTGAATTGCCTGTTTAGGTCCTTTGCACTTTTTTTTTTTTTTTAAGGAATTAGTCTGTTTGATTCCGTAAGAGCATATTGTAGTGCAAATATTTTCCCCATGTTGACCTTTGTCATTTCAACTTAATATTGTTATCTTGGGTTTAAAATAAATTTTTAGTTTTATGTACAGGAAGTCCCCGACTTACAACAACATATTCGAGTTACAGCCAGTCGCACTTACGACCTTCTTTTTTTTTTTAACATCTTACTGTTAGTAATATGTACTACATACAAAGTTGCAGCACATAATTTGCTGATGTTATCATTCTCAGCTGTAATGTTTCCAACCCACAAAGACAACAAAGATTGGATTTATAGAGATATTGATAATAAAAGGCAATAATAATGAAAACTAAAAAAAATGAGGTGTTTTTGACTTACTTCAGAACCGGCTTACCACGGAGTAGTTGTAAATCGGGGACTCCCTGTAGTCAAATCCATCAATCCATCAATCTCTTCCTTTATGATCTCTGGCTTTGATGCATCCTAGGATTTTCCCCATGCCAATGTTAAAGATATTCTCTTATATTCTATTCTGATTATTTCGTGGTTTTATTTTTATAATTAAATCTTCAATTCATATGGAATTTATTTTTGTGCTTGGTATAGGGTAGGAGTCTTAACTTTTTCTCTGCAAATGGAAAGCCGGTTCTCTCAGCATTGTTAATTGGATAGTCCACTCGGCTCACTGATCTGAAATGCCCTTTTTTCTTCTTGTGCTAAATGCCCGTGTAGTCGTGGGTGTCTTTCTAAATCTGTTCATGCCAGTGATCTGACTTTGTCGTCATTAGTTGCCATCAAGTCGGCTCTGGTTCATGGTGACCTTATGGATCATTGGTATGTTTGAGTTCATTGTTGCAGCTATTGTGTCAATCCACCTCATTGAAGGTTTCCCTCATTTTCCTTGGCCCTCTACTTTACCAAGGAGTCCCTGGGTGGGACAGACGGTTAAGCGCTTGGTACCTAACCAAAAGGGTGTCAGTTCGAACCCGCTCAGAGGTGCCTCCAAAGAAAGGCCTGGCGATTTGCTTCCAAAAAGTCACAGGCATGAAAACCCGGTGGAGTGCACTTCTTCTCTGAGACACATGGGGTCCATGACGCCATGGCAGTTGGTTATTGTTGTCGGTTTTTTTTCCCTCTACTTTACCAAGCATGATGTCCTTTTCTAGTGATTGGTCTTTCCTGATGATGTGTCCAAAGTAAGCGAGTCAGAGTCTCCCCGTCCTTGCTTCTAAGGGACATTCTGGTTGTATTTCTTCTAAGACCAATTTATTCACCTTTTTGGCAGACCTCAGTATGTTCAATATTTACTAGCACCATATTTTGAACACATCAATTCTTCTGTCTTCCTTTGTCATTATCCAACTTTCAAATGCATATGAGGTGACTGAAAAGACCATGGCTTGGGTCAGGTGCCCCTTAGTCATCAAAGTGACATCTTTGCTTTTTAAAACTAAAGAGATCTTTTGCAGCAGAGTTGCCTAATGCAGTATGTTGTTTGATTTCTTGACCGCTGCTTCCATGGACGTTAATTGTTGACCTAAGTAGGAGTCCTGATTGCACAGCGGTTAAGGTGCTCAGCTGCTAACTGAGGAGTCAGTGGTTCAAACCCACCAGCTGCTCCACAGGAGAAAGATGTGGCAGTCTGCTTCTGTAAAGATTACAGCCTTGGAAACCCTATGGGGCAGTTCTCTGTCCTATAGGGTTGCTATGTGTTGGGATTGACTTGATGGCAAGGGGTTTGGTTTTTTTTCTTAATATATATATTTAATGAGAAAGTTTCTTATGTTGTTTTAAGTGTGATGTTTATTATTGACTTCCTGAGGTAATTTAAAAAAAAAAATCACATTAAGAAAGTTGCTTCCCATTCCTGAAAAATCACATTAAGAAAGTGTGTTCCCATTCCTGGTTTATTAAGAGTTTTGTTCTTGCTGTTGTTACTTTGTTTTATTTTTAACTCAGGAGTGGGTATCTTTTTGAACTCTATGAAGGTGCCTTGTCACCTTTTTATATGATGAATTATGTCAGGATGTTTCTTAATGCTGAAACTTTTGAATTCCCAGGAGGAAAAATCCTATTTGGTCATGATACACTATTGTTTTAATTCATCGCTAGACTCAGAATTGACTCGATGACAATGGGTTTTTTTGTTTGTTTTTTTGGTTTAGACACATTTAGTAATGTTTTATTTAGGCTATTATCTATATTCATAAATGTGATCGATTTTATATGAATGCATATGATTTCTTTATCCAGTTTTCTTGTCCATTTTATGCTAATCTTTTATAATAAAATCGTAAGCTTTTCTTTTTTGAACATGATAATATTGTATATAAATTGCTTAGCGTAGTGCCTTGTTATTGTTACTTTTGTGTGTCGTGGAGTCGATTCCAACTTATAGGGACCCTATATGACAAAGTAGAACTGCCTCATAGGACTTCCGGGGCTACAGTCTTTATGGGAGCAGATCTCCAGGTCTTTTCTCCCACGGAGACGCTAGTGGGTTCGAACGGCTGACCTTTTGGTTAGTAGCTGGTTGCTTAACCATTGCGCCACCTCCTTTTGCCCAGCGTATATTATATACTCAGTACATGTTAAAATTCTATTATAATTTCTCTGCTGTAGAACAGTTTAAAGAACATAAGTTCTGTCGCATTCGAACTTAGAGAAGTTGCTTGAAAAACCATCTGTGACTGGTACCTTTTATGAAGAATAGATTTTTAAGAATCCTTTCAATTTTTTCTGTGATACTGGTCTATTTTGGATATTGAGTCAGATTTTCTGGAAATTTTCCAGTTCATCCAGAGTTAGCTTTCTTAATTGAAAAAAACTCTTCATACCTATAATTACACCACTTTTCTTATGTCTGAGCTCTGGTGGCACAATGGTGAAACATTCAGCTGCTAACTGAAAAAAGGTCAGCAGTTTGAACCAGCCGCTCCTCTGGAGAAAGATGTGACAGTTGGCTTCCAGAAAGGTTACAGCCTTGGAAACCCTATGAGACGGTCCTACGTTGCTAATGAGTCGGAATCGACTCAACAGCAATGGATCTGGTTTGGTTTTTGATTTCTTATGTCTAATATTGTATATTTGTGTTTGGGAGTCCCTGGGTGGTGCAGTTAACAAGATCAGCTGGTAAATGAAAGGTTAGAGGTCCAAGTTCATCCAAAGGTGCCTCAGAAGAAAGGCCTGCCCATTTACTTCTGAAAAATCAGCCATTGAAAATCCTGTGGAGCACAGTTCTACTCTGACACACATGGGGTTACCATGAGCTGGAGTTGACTCAACAGCAGCTGCTTATATTTGTGTTTAACTTAGCGGTCTTTTCAAAGAACTAGCTCTTAGTTTTTCCTTAGATTTCCTACTGATGATAATGTTTTTCTTCTTTCTAATTAATCGTTTTGTTTTTGTCATTATTTCTTTCTTCAATTTTTTTTCATTATTTGCTATCTAGCTTCTTGAATTGAGCATTTAATTCAATTATTTGTGATCTTTATTGCTTAATAAACAATGTAAAGGTATGAGTTCACTTCTGAGGTGGCTTTGGCTGCATCCCGTAAGTTTGATAAGGAGTGTTCTTATAGTCAGTCATTT